TTACAGCAAAGGCTCGGGAACTAGTTAAACAGGCAGCGGTATCTCATAATTTCCTCAGCAAGAGCAGTACTAAAGCATGTATTTCTGAAATCTGAAGAAAGCAAACATTTACAGATGGAACAAACATTTACAGATTTAATTGCCCAATGCAAAGGCATAAAGTTGGTCCACGACATAAAGCTGTAGCACTCCAGCAATACTAGTATCATGAAAATTATATATAGCTTGCTTTTAATGCAATTAGGCAGGTATAAAGACATTTTATAGTAGCAGCTACTCATACAAGAGTAATTACAGTAATGCTGGTGATTTCCTTAGAATAATCATTTTTGTAAGTCACCAGTTCATCAACTGACATAGTTACACAAATATACCTTTTAAATACAGCCTATGGGCAAGCAATTGTACTCTTACTATCTGCCCTCAATGTCTGCTCAGTGAACATCTATGTTGACAAAGAACAACTGTCACAGAGCCCTGATTTTTCTTCTGAGACAATTTTACAAGCTGGAAATACTTCCAAACATGACTTAAACATGAATTAAAAATTTGCAGTAGTCCACATGATGAAGACATTCAGGAATAATATTTCCTAGTAGTGATAATGTAGTACGTGAAATTTATAGACAAGATCAAGTCTTTTTTATATAAAGGGAGTTCACATTCTAACTACAGAGATCACTCTTTTACCTTCTGCAGTACCTTAACAGCCCTCAGCACCTGAATTACAGTTTACTGGCCTGCGTACATTATTTTACAACATCACATACAAAAAAATGTGTTACACAGAACTGCAGCATACTGTAATTTTATCATTATGGTTCCTTCCAATATTAAAGAAGATTTTGTCCTAGAAAGTTGGTACCTTCAATCAGCTCACTCCATGTTTTCTGAAGCATTAACTTGCATAAAATTTTAAACTGTACTACTATGCAAACCAGTTTTGCTAATACATAAAATCTTGAAGATGAAATAAAAATGAAAATAAGTAGGATGTGAAACATTTCACTACCAAAACAAGACATGTTGCAACTGTAGTGCATTCAGTGAAAACATCAATGAAAAGTAGGAGTGACAGCTTAATATTTGTACATCATTTTCAGAAGAAAATTGTGTTTTCTTGGCATGACTATGACATCTCCTGAAATGTTATTACAGGTATCATTCACCAGGTTAAGCATTCAGAGATAAAGAAAAAAAGACATGCTGGAAGCTATTTAATAAAAGCTTTTGACCACTAATCACACACATATTAAATCTTATACTTTAACCTAAAAATAGAGAAGGAATGTGAAGAATCACCAAGATTTTAAAGCTGAACACTGATCTACAGAATCTTTCAAGTCCGATCACTATGCAATTTTTCTTCTTTTTCTTAAAATGGTCTCTCTAACAGGCCACTAGCCAAAATAATTACAGAAAACAAATAGCTCTAAAGGATATCTAGGAATTCTTCCCATACTAGTTGGTAACACTAGTTTCAAACTATCTTTGTGACAACAGCCAGAAGTTACATTTCTAATATAACAAGCAAAAAGCAATGGCTTTGGGGAATAAAAAACCCCCACCTAACAAAAATTTGTTTTCCCTCACGGACCTCCAAGAAAATGAAAACCTTCTCTCTTTTCTAAAGACATTATCACATTTTAAAAAGGGGAAGGGCAGTCTTCCATAGAAGGAATCTTAGTTAAAACCGAAATGCACAAGCATCCATCCAAACCAGAAAGCTAAATTGCAGCTCCCAAACTGCACGTGACTTGTGGGTCCTTCAGGCCACAGCTTTTGTACATGGGGAGTAAGTTTCAAACGTGGATAACCTGCCATGCTGGCATGGGTTGCAAAAATCTCCGAGTTGCCTCAGCAGCTTCACAAGCAGTCCCACTAAGGAGCAGAATGATCAAAAAGCCGTCTGCATCTTCAGCTCCCATCCTTGAAGTCTGCCTACTGTTCTCCTCTCACTCAGCTGTCCAGGCAGAAGGTGCTCTGAGGCAAAGTTCAGCATGGTCAGAAACTCTGGCTGTCTCCAATTGAAGAGCTCAGTGTCTATACTTGCATACAGAACAGCTCTGGTTTATACATTCAAGAACACGAATAGTAAACACATGTAAAAATCTTATCATCTTAAATTCAGCTGTGGAAGCTAAGGAGATGGTTTATAGCTTTGCTATCTTTTGGCCCCAAGATTAAGGGTATGTCCCAAACTAGAAACACCAAAACCTAAAAAACCCCACAAAACCTACTAAACAAGTAAGATTAAGACTTCTAGAAAAACAAAGTCCAGCGGTTCTTCAAGCCTCCCATGAAATCACAGTATTTTTTCCTGAAACCTGAATCCGGCCAGCTCACTTTTATGATGGGCCTTTGCAACGTAACTTTGGCCCAAACACAGCCCAAAGATATGTATGATGTAACTGGGACAGCAAAAAAAATACCTGTTCTTCATTTGCCAGCATGTGCTTAACCAAATATGATAGCCAATCCACTGACATGTTGGAACTCCTGTCCTTCCCAAATTTTAGTGCCATTGCATCACACAGGCTGAAAAACAATCTTATCCTAAGAACTTTTGTGGAAAAGATCTTCTGTAAAGGTGGTTTCTAAAGTTTTTCATCAAATACCCCTACTATTGACCAAGAAACTGTGTATCTTCATCTAAAGAACTGCAACTGCATTCTGCATTGGGCCTTTTTTTGTCAAATACTTTATAGCCCAAGTCTTTCTACCCAACAGTAAAAACGCTGTAATCATCAGATAACTGGAAACACTACAGAAGCATCCATACTCAGGGATCAGTTACAGTACTAAAAAATAAAAACAAATTCCTTAACTAATGCCTTACAACTAAAGGCAGCCGAGTACATCACCTCCAAGGATCGTGAGTCATACAGTGATGTCCTCCAAATGATAACAGCTTTCCCCGATCAAACAACAATGGATTTTTTCACTTTTAAATAAAATGTTAATTCTTTATCAGAGCAAGTCTAAGGCGTATTAAGATCATCACTGGATAGAAGCTCTGATAATAAAAACAATGGGATGCATAAATAATTTTCGGGGCTTCTGCAAAAAATCTTATGTAATCCAGTATTTTCTCTACTACATATTTACATGGCTGATTATACTGCCAAAAATCGAGTATGCTTTTGCAAGACATGCACAATACAGTTTACAATATTAAAAATTCCCAATGAATTACTTGCACTGGAGATCAAAAAGTACTTGGAAGACACACAACAAGTATGCATCCAAGATCCTACATACACGAGCAAGGGCCTGAAGGTGAAACATCTGAAACACATAATTTGCTGCAAGAGAGCTCACCGGAAGCAGAATTAATACACTGGAAAGTGTCAGCACCAGTCACTCAACAAATTCAATCCATTAAGATGGATCAAAGCATCTGAGTTACATTTAAACATCACTAGGTAAATATTCATTTTTAACCCGTTTAGTTACTGACTCTTCCATCCACGAAACTGCTGATCATGTTATGTTCACTTGCCGGGAAAGTTTAGCCTAATGGCAATTTCTTTTCTTCAGATGAGTTATCAAAGGAACACTACACATATTCCCATAATAGAAACAACCCAGCACAACAAATATCAACTTACTTTTCATGACTCACGTGAGTACCTTGGATAAATTTGGGTACCTCGAGTACTCATGCTTACGCTTGCATTTAAAACCTTCACTAAGTATTAAAACATTTATTTAAATGTTGAAGATGTGAAATAACGAAGAGCCACGGGAGAAGAGCTCTGCATTTTAGATTAATCAACGGTTTTCTCTGGCATTCATTCTTACCCTGGAAGCCAATAGCAGAGCTGCCAGGAGGGTTAAGAATGCAGCAGATGAAACACCCGAGGGCTGCTACCGGCTCTTGCCCTACCGCAGCAACAACTTCGCTACAAGACAGCGTTGTCTTATCCGAGCGTCTTCCAAAAGCAAAAAAAAAAATCACCGTCACCCCGTCGGTGCAGTGCGAAAACAGCACGGCTGGGCGCGCGCGCGGTAACGAGATTTTTAAAAATAAATAAATAAATGCACAAAAACGCGGGAGGCGAATTATTTCGCGCAAGCTGCCCGGTGACCGCGCAAAGGACCCGCGCCCTGGGGCAGGCGGAGGGTGGGGGGGGCGGCCGAGCCCCCGCCGGGCCCAGGAGCACGAGGGCGCTGCGGCGGCGCCACGTGCCGCCTTCCCGCCCGCCGGGCGCAGGCCGGCCGGGTGGGGAACCGGACACGGGGGCGATCGCGGAGAGGAGGGGGCGGCCCGGACACTCACGCTCCCGCAGCCGGTTCTTGAAATTCGGGTCGCTCCGCCTCTTGCGGTCGAAGTAGATGCAGTAACCGATGAACAGGGCCCCGCAGAGGCCCGCCGCGATGGCGCTGGTCTTGCCCAGCATCATGGTGCCCGGCGCCGAGGGAAAGGCCCGTCCCAGGCCCGTCCCGGTCCCGTCCCGTCGCCCCCCGCCCCCTCCCGCCGCGCGGCCGGCGCCCAGCTCCGCAGGCACCTTGGGGCGAGCGGGCAGCCAGAAAGGACCCCGCGTCGCTTCCGCTGACGTCATCAGCCGACGCCAGCAGAGAGCGCCTCCTCCAGTGCCTGCGGAGACCGGCCGCCCCGCGGCGCATGCGCGCACGGGGGCGGGAAGGGCAGCACCTCCTTCCCTCAGTCCCAGAAGACCGTAAATCTTGTGAGTTAAAGCTTAACAGTTACAAAAATACCCACCCCCCACACACACACACACTATCTAGGTAATGATTTACATTACTCCGCACTCCTGGGAGAAGCCCCAAGCCCCACAGGGCACAGCAAGAACGACTCCAGATGTATTAGCAAACAAAATTTATGACAGAACACCACTCTTGTATACATCAATCTTTCTAACAATAATGAACACCATTATACGTTTGATCTTTTATCAGAAGACTGTGTGTTTTTTGTAGCTTTCTTTCTAGGAACAGCTTTTAGTCTTTTTGGTTTAGTGCTCTTTTTCAAGGGGATTGCTTTTTCACCAACAAACGAATCATTAGAGCACCTCTTGTTTTTTAACGTGGTATCAGCTCTGTCCTTAGGAGCACGAGACCCAGGTGGACTTTTCTGTGGTGCTTTCCACTTCTCTCCACAGCGCTTCACCCGTATCTTTCTTCCCATCAGACCAGTTTCGTTGAGTTTCAGAGCAAGATGTACAGCATCCGTATTCTACAAGAACAGACCTTCAGTTAAAAAGCAGCATTACTTCCACTTGATTGCTTCCAAATAGTTGCCCGTCTTTCATTTTTTGTAGGCAAAATTTCACAATCAAGAACACTCAAACTGCTCTATTTATTGAATGACGCATCTCTGCTGGGCTCAGAAAAAAATGGCACACCCACACAGCTCACGCATCGAGGCACAGCTACTGAAAACGGGCTCTAGAACAGCTTACATGAGATGTGGAACAGAGGCGGAGAGAGGAAGGAGAAACTGGGGGGTGGGGGGGAGGGAAGGTATTGGGCTGCAGGAAATAAACTAAGGAAGACAAGGCTGGGAGACTGCTGTGAGGAAGCAAGCTGTACTGCATCCAAAGCAGAGAGACAGTAAGCAAAACCAGCTGCAGCAAAGAATTCCACTCATTTTGACACATAAGAAATGAGAGAACACTGTAGTTCAACCAAGGAAACTTATCTGTCCCTCCTTTAAGTCCTTCCCTTAAAGGCAACTTCATTCACCCCAATGTTTTACAACGTTTCTTTGTATACAACCTAAAACAGACGCTTTGTGTTTGCTTCCACAGAACTGGTCTTCCAAGCTGCTTTTAACATACAAAACAATACCACCATTTAATGTCACATAGAAAACCAGAAAAATTACAAAAGGAAAAACATTTTAAAAGGTTATAAAGGCAATCTCAATTCATATTTTCAAGAACCCCCAGTGTCCTGAAGCACATCATTCACACGTACCTCAAAAAGAACGTAGCCGAAGCCTTTACCCAAGCCGGTCTTTCTGTCTCTCACAATTCGCACTGCTACTATGCCTCCACAGACAGAGAAGTGTTCTCGCACGGCATCGTCACTGATGTCTGCAGGCAAGCACAATGACACAGGTGCCTCTTCAGTCACACACGCAGCTTTAGAAGCCTGGCCCAAATCCAAATATTTTATATTTGCCAATTTAGGTACACAAACATATGTATCTCAATACATATACATTAATATATAAGTATATATAGGTACACAAATATCAGCAGTTCAGAAAAATTCCAGCAAATACAGACTTTATAAAGTGCTATTTACTTTGACAGTTACCAATTGTTTAGCAGTGAAGCGTACACTATAAGTTGCAAAGGAGAATGAAGGCAAAGATCAAAACAAATTTTTCAAATAATTTAAGGTTTGAACATTGTAGAAATTCTGATTTGCGCTACATTTTTGTAGCTCCTCCTAATGCCAGAATCTCTTTCTAAGAATTAATGCTGCAGATAATGAGCTTGAGCTGGCAGTTCTTGAAGTCTAACACTCACTGACTGAACCTTGAATTTTAACTGAATGGGGGAGAAGGGATTTATAGTTTCCAACCACAGTTGCTATATGATTATTCTGATAATGACCAGATGTGTGAGGCTTTCTCACTCTCATGCCTATGCAAACAGACAAATGTCACGTACCAACACAAAAATACAGGTTATTCTCTTTCCTGTGTAGGTACACTTCATGCGACGGTAAAAACCCTTTACTCAGATTATAATTGTATCTGTGCTAAGGGAAGAGCTGAGGGCAGCCTGAGTTTAATAGTACAGGTATAATTACAGCAATGGGACTTAGATGTGCTGAGAAAGGTTCAAGCTGCTGAAGTAATTTTCAGAGCACTGCAAATGTCTAAAATCTTTTTTTCTGCAGGATGCACAGGTGAACATACAGTACTGACACATGCTCTACACAACAGGCATTAGTAACGTCACCGCAGTCAGATTTGTCACCTGTCCAGATTTTTCAGACAGGTCAAGCTTTAGGCAGAAGTCTAAAGCCTGTTTGTTTGAGCATTACTGTCAGCAGTGCACAATGCTGGCTGTGTCAGGCCACAGGCACAGGGCACATCGCCATCCTGTTTATTTATGCATCCACACCACCCCCAAGATGCTCGTCCCAAGCATCCTGACTCCATTAATACCCTCACATATGAGCCACACCTGATGGTGATCCCTTCATCTACTCTCCAGTCTACTCAGAAGCAGCTGAATATTCATCAAGCATTGACCTCAACTACACAGTAAGCACTTCCACACAGGTAACAACCCACTGCCAATACCTGCCTGGACAGAGTCACTCACCCTGTGGCTCACAGACAGCATCAAAATGAGAAGCCATCACTGTGTATCACTTGGAAGTAGTCCACAAGCAGGTACCAGTACACATTTAACAGTTTAGAAATCTATGGCCTATGCAGTTTAGTCATATTTATTTAAAAAACATCAAGGGACAACAAAAACTAAAAGTGCTTGCAGTTCTAGTTACAATAAAGAAAACAATTAACCTGCAGACCTTGCCAGAAAATTACAACCCTGTTAAGTGTTTCAGTTAAAAAATAAAACTGCTATTAAAAAAAAAAATAATCCCGACAAAATATATTTAGCTACCTAAACATGCTACCCTAAATATCAATAACTCCTCCAATGTCAACATATTTCATAAACATGAAGTAATGATGTATAACAATCCATTTTAGACTTACCATATGAGAGATTTCCCAAGAATACAGACCGTTTATTGTCATGCTAAAGAAAACAAAAGATAAAAGACAGTAAGTTATTTGTTACAGAAAAAAAATAAAACACCAACAGAAAAGGGGTTTTCTAGTCACACATCTTACTTACCAGACTGTTTTTTGATGCAATGTCAACTCTGATGTGAAATCCACTAGCAATTTCTGTTCCGTTTCTTTTGTAGCCAAAAGCAAAAAGTTTTAAAAATGAAATGAGCAAGCGTTACTTAATTTACAATGTCACTGCACAGCATTATTTCAAAAGCAAATTTAAGTTTGAAAAAAACATTTTATTGTGATTCAAGCAAAAGAGAGGAGATAGGTTTACAGATAAGTTTAAACTATCTCTATCAACAGGGAATGAGGAACAAAACTGAGACTTACTTCTTTAGAGCCTTAATGGCATCACATTCTTCCTTAAATACAACATAAGCATTAACAAACTTCGCATTAGGGTGCACCTTATGCCTAGAACATGAAAAAAGACGAATATTGTTTAAATAATTCTGATGGTGTGTAGTGCACAAGCACTTCTTGTTAGACACAGTTATGCCTCCTCTTGTTTTGTGCACAGTAAAAATTTAATTTCTCTTAAAGGTCAAGCTTGCCCCTTACATCCAAGGGAGTTTCACTGTACATCTTACACAGCTCGTACATGCACCCTGATCAAGCTTCCTCAGCTCATAAATATATCTAAAGGAATTAAAGACTATTAGCATCTTCCTCCTTCCTAAAATATGAGAAATGCAATATAAGATAACAAATTACTCGCATACCAGACACATAATTCTTTTTCACTTGTCAAGAAAACTTGCATACACACAAAGATAATTACAAAAGTCAAAACCAAACATAAAATAAAAAAATTAATATGGACAACCATGTAACAACCAACACTTAAAGATTTTTTTTTGCCTTAAAAAAATAAAGCATGAAATTCACAAGAGGAACCTACTTTATTGCTGCTAACTTTTTGGATAATGTATCTTCTGCTGGAACCTTTAAGATAAAAAGAGCTTTAGTTAAGCCGGCCTAGCGTCAATTTATTTCAAACATTTGTTCTTGAAGACAAACAGGAACTCAAACAGGTACCATTCCCACCCAAAGCAATATAGCCAGTACAGGGAGCAAACAACAGAAGTGGCTCTTCCTACAGATGATCCAGAAAGACCACAGAATTAGACAGCTTGCTTTGACTTCAACTGTTAGGTTTCTCGAGTTCCAAGACTGTTATCTTCAACTATTTTACACAGTACACTGATTCACAATCAGGGTGTCTTTGCAACTGTGAATTAAAAACAGGTAAGTAATACCTTAGCTAAACGAGCAATAAAAAAGGCATTCTTCTTCTAGAGAAAATACAGCTCTAATACTTTCAACTGCTGCTGCAAGAAGAGTAAAATGTGATGGAAGGAAAGATGCATCTATGGTAAAATCTCCAAGGATGCTTCTAATGGCAAAAATATACACTCAAACCCACTTCTGAACTAACGATGATACAAGCCTTATGAACACTACACTCTTTAAGATCAAAAAAATAATTCTGTTATGTAACATGAGAGGAAATAACGTACCAAAGACCGGAATCGAATGGATTTTATTTGTCCATACTCTTTAAAAACAGATTTCAGTGCCTAAACAGAAGATATTACAGATACTCAGTACATTTTTGCATTATGGTAATAAGAAATATTGTTGAATAGTTATTAGTAAGAATGCTTTTACACTATTTTCATTTCACTATACAAGGCTGTTAAAGGGCCACTAAAAATACACAAATAATTTGTAACGGTTTCTGTGTTTCTTGTGGCAGTTTCTTATCCTACACATCGACTAAACTAAATTTGTACCCCTTACTATGGAAGAAAGTATAAATTTAACATATGTTATGCAACAACCTGAAATATTATTTACATTCAAAATTAGAAACAGACTAATTTTGTAACTGTAGTTCTCATTAAGTCATTTTTCACTGAAAAAGAAACTAACCTATTTTACTAAAAAAAGAGTAACTGCATCCACTGCTGTAAAATGCCTAACTCCAGTAAAACAAGAGATTGCCTCTACTGGTTTCTGACAATGTGCATTATTTTCTACTTCCCCAAAAAGCAATTTTAGTCACAAATACATCTGACTGCTCAACTGGAAACATCCCCTCAAACTAAAGACTGTTGTAATTCTTTCAATCCTTTTAGCTGACAGAATCCACTCACATACCTGAACAGTACAGCTGACAGGCAAGTTTCCAACAAACACTGTTCTTCTGTCTACTGATTCATCAGCCACCTTTTTTTCCTTCTGCTGTTTTACAGTAGTGCCTGTATCTGAATTGACAGCACTTTTGGTGATGGCACGAGCCGCCCTTTTTTTTTTCTTCACTTTGTTTTGAACCAGTTTTTGCTTCTCCTCTTCATCTGCCTGTTCCAAAGCATGCTCTCTTATCAGAAAAAAAGACAAGTAAATTGTAATTGATGAGAAAAAAACAGTTTTTGAGGTCAAAGAATTGAAGCCTACAAAATAAATATTTTAACTTACATTTTAAATTATTGTGTTCAACATAAAATTTCAAACATTATTTTGCTTAGTATGCATTAAAGAACATATCTGACCATTCTGTAAGGTGGAAAAACTATCTGCTGTTGTCAGGACATTGTATTCACTATTTAGTAGAGTAATAAAGAAAGAATTCAGAACTAAATAATCTGATATCCCCTAAAATTGAAAGAAAAAAAAAATAAATTGTATTTGCATGCTAGAACTGAAACGAGATTTAATTCTTCCCAGTATCCAGGACACTCAGAACAAACAATCCCTTGGGACCCACCCGTGCACTAACAAACCTCTACCCATCCAAACCTGCCATAACAGCAGAAGCCATAAGCAGACCTGAAGAAGCCTCTGGAAGGCTACTGGCAGCAAAACAGCATAACAAGCTTCACGGGCGTGGAAGGTGCAACAACACACAGCACCAGAGAAAGGACAAGGTGTTCACCTCGAGCTATAGCTCAGTAGACTTCCTTATCCAAACTTCACTGCGCAGAGACCAGCTTGCTGCCTGCACTGACAGCATCTTGGCTCATCCCTGAGTATTGAGGCAAAGGGACAGTGCGTCAGAGCAGCTCCACGTCAAGAGCCAGCATGGCAAGAGCAGCCGAGGCCGCCTGGTACCCTGCTGCTGCTGAAACGCCTCTGCTCCTCCAACTGCAGGGCTGCTGGATAAAGCCAGCTACCAGAAGAGAGCATCACCCCGGGCCAGACAGAACTTTTTGTGAAGTCTACAACCTCTAGACCTGTTCACTCACTAAATGAGGATTTGTACATCACGGACCTCAAACTTCAGCAAGCTGGAAATATTTACTACCCTCTGGGGCAAACCACAGAAAATTATCATAGTCTTCTTCAAAATAATCTTCTTAAACACAAGGGTCAAGATGAATAGTTGAATAGAACTATACTGTTTCACTGAACTCATAATCTTATGATTAATATAGATATTATCTTAATTTTTACTATAAAAAGGTATTATTTACTGACCTGTCTGCCAATTTTTCCTCTGCTTTTGAAAGTTCCTTCTTCGCTTTTCTGGCTTTCTTTGCCTTTATATGAGGTTCTTGTATGACAGATGAGCTCTGGTCTTCTGACACTTTCTCCTCTTCTTCTGTATGCTTTCTTTTCTTATTTTCCTTAAAAAAAAAAAAAAAAAAACAAGAGCAAAAACTTGAAAACCAGAATTCCAGAAGCGCCCTACGATTCTTTTATATATTGTAATTTATTTGGATCACCACCAACTGAAGCCAACACCCGCAAGAAGCGCCGTGTCCCCCACACGCAGATCCGCCTGATCACCGGTGCGCCCACCCACCCACCCTCGCCACAGCATTTCCAGCCCCGCGAGGACACCACCTGCTAACTACGACTCGGCTCACCGTGACCCTCAGGAAGCCGCCCGCCCGCCCTCCCGCCATCGCCCACGGCCGCCACCCGGCCCCCCCTCGGCCGCGGCCACGACCACGCAGGCAGGCGGGAAGCGGTCCGCCGCCACCGCCCCGCGCCGCGCCTCCAGTGGCGGAGCACCCCCCCCGCCGGCCCGAGAAGACGCGGGACTCACCCCCTTCACGGCCACGAGCACCGGCGGGGAGGCGGCGGCGAAGAGGCGCGCGAGCGGTGAGGCGGCAGCCCCGACCGGCCCGAGGCTGCTCGCCACCTGCCCCACCACGTACTCCTCCTCCCGGGCGCCGCGCCCCGCCGCGGCACCGGAATCAGCGGCCTCCCCGCCGCGGCCCCTCGGCCCCGCGCTCCGCCGGCAGCCCCTCATGGCGGCTCGACAGGTAAGGGCAATCGCCTCGGGGCGCGTCACTTCCGCCGCGCGCGGAGCAGCAGAGGGGGGCGTGGCCTGCCGCCGAGGGAGGGCGGGGCCTGGCCGCGCCCCGGCAGCGGCCCCGGCGGGCTGAGCGGGTTACGCTGTTGCCAGCCCCGCCGTTACGGTGCAGCGCTCGGTTTTACCAGGGCGCGCGGCAGCGATATGCACCCCTCAAACAGCAGCTGGGGGTCGGGGGGAATCGAGCGACACGTTGTTTCATTTATTTTCCAAGACCCCCAGCTCCCAGGCTGGTGTTCTTAAAGGGAGACAGACATTACTCCGTGATTACTTCTTTGCCTTCTCAGGTTGATGCTACTTAAAAATCACTTAAAGGGGGGGTCAAAGTGCCACAAGTGGTTAAACCAGAGCAGCGCTGTTGTCTACAGAAAGTAAATTTCATTGCCCCCTGGTGCTGAGGAAGTACTTCTTATCTCACCCTTTGCTTCAGGGTTCCTATCCAGCCTCCATCCAGGATGAAGCATGCTTGGTTTTTTAAAAACAAAAAACCAACACCCCAAGCTCCCAGTTAAAGTCTGTGCCAGTTGATCTCATGGTCCCTGAGCGCAGATTAAATGGCAACCAGCAGGAGAGCTCCAGCAGTGCTGCTGCTGAAAAGCTGAACTAAAGCCTACAGAAAACCAACTCATGAAGGTGCACAATCACCAGGGTGAGTGACCTCACGCTTAAATTCAAAGAGAGAAAGAATCCTTCTGGTGCTCACGCAGGCCCCTTTAAAGCAGCTCACCTTGAGACAAACCTGGAAAAGCACTGGGAAATACAAAGGGGGAAGGGGTGTTGTAGGGCAGGGATTGGCTGGTCTCAGCAAAACCCCCAGCATGGCACAGTTGATAGAAGGAGACGTACTGGAACTTGTCAGCCACAGGCATTGGAAAGAATAAGATAAGAACTTCATTTAGGAGGAACACGGGGTGCTGACTTGGTGTTTGTGTTAAGATTAGGCGCTGTGGAACAGATGTCCTGTAACTGGGAGTTACTGTTTTTGTAGGTAGGACTATTGCAATTAGAAAGTAAAAGTTTAGAAAAAAAGCCTTTAGCATTAGCTAATCTCTGAATGCCTAATGTAGAATGTAAGCCAATAAATCTTTGGCATGCTTTAAAGAAACCAATTAGTGTGTAAGACGCTATCTAGGAACTAGTATAAAAGTATGTGAAGTATCATAATAAAACAGACACTTTGCTTGCAACAAGCTGCGTCCCATCTCTCAATCGCGGCAGGGTGTAGAGAACACCCAAAATTGAATGGTTTCCAGGACTTGTTGAAGTAGACTTGGTTATGCATTACAAGCAAAACTGGAGTACAGAGAGAGCACAGAGCCACAGGCAGTTAAGGCTGTTTAAGCACTTAGAAGTTAGGACACCACCAGAGGGAACATCCCAAAGCACAACTTGGGCAGCCGGTTTCCTTCTGGATTGTTTCATCTCTCCCCAGGATCTGCAGCAGGCTTTCAAAGCATCTAAGCATTCTTCTGACAAAAAATTCCCTGAAACCCAGTACCTCTCAGAGGATTCAAGGACTGTAGCCTGGGGGACAGGAAAAGGAGGAACCAGCAGCACCTCTTTTCCCCCACCCCCCCCTCCACCCCCGGCCTCCCAAACCGTCACTTCGCTCTGTAGCCAGGAGAGGACAGTGCTCTGGATCAATTCGCTGCTGCAGCTACATAGATAGAACTGGACAACTGATGCAACTGGAAAAGACCCCTCTGTGTTAGGTTAACTCTCAAACAGATTGTCTTCTAACCCAGGCCACAGTACAGCTGGTGCATAAGGAAGTTTGGTCTCTTACTAGCTCTCTGAAATTAGGCATCTAATTGGGATCTTCTTTTAGACCCGCCTGTCCAGAATGTAATTTTAAATGCTAGATGATGTGGTAATTGGAAAGGCATAGAAAATTAACAGACACTTAGAGGCTAAAGCAAATACAAACAGCTCTTCTGTTGTTAGACCTTACGCACTTTCTGAACTGCCAGCTTTAGCAGTTTTGTTGGCACCAATGTCCAACTGAAGGCAAAACAAGTCACCCAGCTACGGAATAAAGGTAAAAGCGTTAGTCTTGACACATGCACCAGGCATCCCGTGTCTGGCCTTCTAGATGCTGGGAAAGGTGGTAGGGGCCCCTCATTGACGGGGTCAGCCCAAGAGAATACACAAATTCTTACAAAACTGGCAGGTGGCTGCTGCACTACTTGTATTGGCTTTTCCAATCTACCTTCACACAAGGGAACAGTTTTGTAGGTGACACAGGTGGGGTAGAACAGGCTGAACCATCAAAACACATCAAAATTATATTGGACAAGGTCAACAAAAGGCATACAGCCTCCAGAAACTCCACCAGAGAGTCTGAGCCCCGTGGTGACAGGGAAGTTTCATGGCATGATGGAAACTACACAGTAACAAGTACCTACAAGCATTGGTGGAGACTGTAAATAAAAGAAGCCGGGAGCAATGCAGACAGCCTTCAAGCAAGGCGTGCTTTCTCTTGGCATATGCAGATAGTCTACACTCTCAGGTATTCTCAGCATGATCAGACATGAGACATGCAAAACTGATTCTGTCGCTCAGCCAAGGTGTAAAGGATAAAGGACGGGTAGTTTGTCCCGCTTTGCCTTTCAGGTTGTGGTCTGAGCAGGCACTCAAGAGCATGGGCACACTGCAGCAATCACTGCTAGTGGGAAACTTTCTCAGGGTGCATGCCAAGCAGTGAGCACAGTCATGTTTAAAGCTGCATTACAATATGTAACCTGAAAAGAAGCTCAGATTTGACTCACTGGAACATGAGATAAAATTGCCTAGCTAACAGTATTCCAAAGGTACCTCCCTTTGTCACCACCGGGACACAAGTAACATGAACCTGGAGAGTACGATTTACAGACACACTTCACAAAAGAGGTGCAGTATAAACCAGACAGAACAGATATTTGCCTAGTCATTAAACTTCAGGAGTACAACAAAATTTAAATAATCTCCGTATTAAAGACCAGCAAAAATCTCTTTATGCAAAAACTCAATTTGGGAGTAGGGAGGTGACTAATGATCCCTGTTTTAAACAATTAAAACAAATCCTCTCATAGAACACAAGAGTCAACAACTGTCACAAAGCAAAAATGCTGGCGCTGAAAGTGAGCTGATCAAGAAATAGTAGCAAGTGGAGAGCTGAATTTGCTCTTGCTTGCCCAGATAATAGTTCCCAGTTAAATCAATAGCAGTTACTACCTGAGTCTGAAAGGCAGAACTGAACTATTACAGCTCTGATTCTGCTAAACATAAAACATCTGCAAATATCTTCTGAGTAGCCCCACTGAGAGTATTAAAATTGCTCCCATCAGTCTCAGATCACTGGTAATTATTGACACAGACAGTGTTTCCAAAGCTTATCATCATTTGCTATTTATCCGTCTCATCAGCAATCTATCATTTTGCAGGTATAACAGTAGTTTGGTCAACTGAACTACAGCCAGACGTGATGTAAGCTGGTAACAATAAAAGTTTTATTCCAGTTCCATTTCCACTGAATCATAACTTGAGGCAATCGATATCAGAAGTTAGCAAATATCTTTGGGAGTCTGCTTTTAAATTTTCAAACTACCTGTATTAACGTGAATCAAAAGTCATCTTTATTTCAACCGGTGCTGTCTTAATGATCTCAATGGGCCAAGCTCTCCCATTCTGCTGAAAAAGAGGATGAATTTGAATTAATCACTATGAGGAAAACTAGACCTATGTAACTGCTCTAAATTATCTTTATATGCCTGTTACACCATATCAAAGATAATTTGCTAAACTGATGCTGCAGCTTGATGCCATTTTAATGAACACACTACGGTTGCTTAATTAAACTGTTAGAAACAAAATCAGGGATTCACAAACTATGGCATTTTATTTCAGAGGCCTTTGCTTACATTTGTACAATATATTACATAATTCTCCATTTTCTGCAGAACCTAATATATATTTTATAGCTTTTCTCTATAAGCTTTTCCTTCAATGTTTGTCAACAAATTTTTACAGTCCTGTACAATTCTGAATACTTTGAAACCATTTTCAATAAAATCAGTTAACCTTAAGCACACACTACGAAGACTGAAAATGCTTTTCTTAGAAAAGTCAAATGTAAAGGATTCTGACACTCTAGCATCTACAAACAAAATGCTTTGAATTCTTACATGTTGTATTGCCAGAAAACAAAGAAAAACATGCCAGCCCCTATTTCCCCAGGCAAAAGAAGTACACAGAACTACAATTAAAACAGTAAAACAATCTGTACAATAAAGTACTGTGTATTAACAGTGCCAGGTATTAAATAGCTTGAATGAACACTTCCGCAATATACAAATGTCTTACAAAGGTATATAATTAACAGGAGAGAGCTTGGGATCCATACAACAGAAAATCAATACAAGTGAAAACAGTTTGAAGTTGGTTTTGGAATTTGTACAAGGCATTTAAAAAATTAAATGTCTACCACTCAGCTAGCTATTTATTTTAAAAACAACTGTCCTTTTGTGGCAGTGTTCATTATCAGCAACCACAAATTATAACCTCACACCTTACTTCATCTTGAAGTCCTCTCCTTGAAGCTCGTAATAAAATAAGCATTACAAATGAAATATTTGTTGCTTTAAGGGAAAAGAAACATTTACAAGAAAACACAAAAATATAACTGTTATAATCCATATGAATAAATATACACTTTAAACTGGCTAAATACAATCTTTATACATTAAGATTTAATACAGTTCGTTAGCCATTTTCTTTCTTTTTCATAATGTATTTTATCAAAATTAAAAAAAAAATACTGTTTTATAGAAAAATGGCAAAGTACAGTAGTTTCATTCCAATTAATGGGTTCTTAAAACCCAGAGTAACCTATTTAAGCCTAATTCAAACCTGTAAACATTAGTCAGTCTTTTTTTGTTTTTTTGTGTTTTTTTTTTTTTTTAAAAGGATTCTTCATATTTGGTTATCAGGACTGATGTCA